CATCTCATCATCATCATCAGCCTTCATACTGAGCCAGGGTCCTCTGGAGGTTTCTTCCTGTTAAAAGGGAGTTTTCCTCTCCACTGTCGCTGCATGCTTGCTTAGTATGAGGATTGCTGTAAAGACTCTGACACTAGTCAGTGACTCGATGCAACCTGGTAACTTATGAATTATAGCGCGTTGTCAGACAGGTTTCTTACTTTTACAGGTGTGGTAGTAATCAGGCCTGAGAGTGACTAGTGACACTGAACTCGGCTTCGACACGATTCATCACAAATTATTCACTATGAACCAGGGAGAAGTTACTTTTTCACACAGACCCGCGTTAGTTTAACATTTTCTCACCGTAATGAATGAAATCTGCATTCCAGATCTACTTTAACTGTTTTTCTGATGTGAAACATTAACTGTATGGACGTAGACGCTTGTCCCCAGCGCTAGCATTCAGCACCGTGAGCTCTCTGACACGATGCTGAAGTAGTGGTTGGCAGACTGCAGCTGAGCGGTTTTACACATCAGTTCAACATTCTGATCCATCGGCCGGTGTGGGAGAACAGGACCTCGGGACAGCATGTGAGGATGCTACCCAGAGCGGCACTCTTCACACTCCATAAGCAAAGCTGATGGCTCTGCTGGATCACTGAGTGGCTCAGCTGACAGTCAGAACAGAAAAACTTGCCCTGCAGGTAAAATACTGTTCTGGTTTGGGACACTCGCACTCCTAGCACCTAAGTTCTTACTAGATGGGTCCAAATAAAATCAGAAATTAGTCCGAGTGCACCATGTTCCTAAATGAAACATCTGAGCAGTCAGTGACAGCAGTGAGCCAAGCACCCATGATGGGTGTGAAGAGGGTGGGCTTGTCTAGTGCACGTCTGGAGTTTACAGTCAGAAGCTGCAGGTTCTCCTAATACTTTACTCCTGCAAGCTAAAAGCTACAGGGCATGGATAGGGTCAAAAAGAATGATTAGAAAATGGATTCGACTTTCACCTTCTCCTTTATCGCATCAACCTGAAAAGGAAATTCAGAGAGGCAACTTAAGGAGGAAGAAACTATCGGGAGGCTCAGAGGACTTGTCCCTCAGAGTGGTGCGGGGTTTAACGCCACTTTTCATACAAATGCAGACTGGAGACTTAAAAGGAACTAGAATCTTTGGCTGGTTCTTACACCCGTTTGGGAAATCTTCCAATGTGTGTACGATATTATAAATATTGCTCAACTACTCAAGCTGAATGTAGTTTAATGCAGAAACAGGCCTGTGTCACATAAGGTCAGTAATGTGTTATAAACACCACTTAGGTCTGCTTGTCAAGAGAGCAACACAGACAGATGTTCTACTACCCAACAGACAAGCAGCACAGCGAGAAGCCGTCACGAATCTCTTCTGCAAAACATGATGGAAAAGTAGCCTGAAGGTGTGAAAACCCAAATGAGACGAGTGGAGACCCACGAAGGACCAAAGCAACGCAAATGCAGCATGAAGGAGGAGAGAACAGCTAGTGCTGAGGGTTGTGTGTGTGTGTGTGTGTGTGTGTGTGTGTGTGTGTGTGTGTGTGTGTGTGTGTGTGTGTGTGTGTGTGTGTGTGTGTGTGAGTGAGAGAGAGAGAGAGAGAGAGAGAGATCATCTCCAGGACAATGATAACTCTATCTCTCGTTTCCATGACAACAACAAGAGGGAAAGTTTCATCATTAGAGGAGTCCTGCAGGACCCGGTCCGGTCCATGTTGGACCACAGCAAGGCAGCAGCGGCCACATTCATTTCATCTGACAGAGAAACGGACACCTGGTCGTGTTTAACCACGGCTAAAGTCACTCCGAAGCGGAGTCTGAGTGGACCGGCGCTGGTTCTGGATGAGCCGGGTTACCTAGCAGCCCGGAGGATGGATCCACTCACCAGCAGAACGATGGTCGTCTCCTCGCTTCCCCTCCTCGGAGTAAATCCAGACCAGAACCCGGGATGGAAACAAAACAGTTAATTATGTGCTGGAGGTGGGTCCTCCCAGCCCCTCTTCATCCGCGCTGAGCCGACGGCAGGAGGCTCCGGAGCCGCAGAGCGACGAGAACTCTCCCCTAGATTGCACTGATGATGAAGAGGTTCGGAGCAGCGGCTCGGCCCAGAACCTCAGATTTAACCTCGGTTAATAGAAGGAGGGACTTCGATGGAGTCGGTGCGTGTAACATCGGATGCTCTGGCGGTTGGCTGCGCTTACTGGGCCGCTTCCCACAGCTCCACCCGCTGGACCAGCCTTCCCAGTGCGCCCATTGGCACAGCCGGCCGGACATGCAAATCCACTCTCCCCATTGATGTTTTACAAAAAACAGGAGGAAATTAGAGGATAAAGGTATGAGGTGTGGCTTCCGCTCCTCTGTTGCGCCATCGTGTGGCTCCAGACCCGCAATCACAGAGAAGCGGTGGTGTGATCCCGCTGGTTCGTGTCAAAGACAGACAGCTGACTGTAGCAGAGAGCCGTTCCGGGTTCAACCCACATGAATACTAGAGATGAACCATTTCTGACGAGTACGAGCATCAAACGAGTAAAACCCGCGAATATCTGCATCCGTGCTGAAGGAAAATCCTCATTGGATAACTGTCTTCGCTCTCAGTCACACACACACACACACACACACACACACACACACACACACACACACACACACACACACACACACACACACACACACACACACAGAGCGCTCCGCCGCGCGCGCCCCCGACACACTGGCGCACGGTTGGACTGGATGGTTTAAACACGCGCCACAGATTTAAGTTGTTTGTTTATTTATGAAAACTTTGTAGAATCCAGTCGCACTAAAGCGCCTACAGAGCCAGCTCTGGGGTGTGTTAACGTGATGAGCTGCTCCTGTCTAACGGACGGCGGGTGGAACAGGACCTGACGGCAAATTCCCAGTGGGCGGGTCTGGTCGGTGTTTCCAGCTGTCCTTTTGTTTTGTCGGGCTGGTGTTAACTCATGTTACTGTTGATCACCTGTTGCTGATGAGAGGATTTCTCCTGTCAGTGCGGAAGGAACAGGTGAGCTGCAGCCACTAAGCTTTAGTTAGAAACACTTTCTATGCCCACACTGGAGTGACCTGTTATTTAGTTGTATAACTAATAAGTGAATGCATGCACTAAACCCACAGGTAATGGAAAAGAAGATTAAATAAATTGAATATTTTCTCCCACAGCTCAGCTCTGTTAGAAATAAGCAGATGTCTGCTTAATTATGCATATTAAACATAAAATTAAATATAAAAAGGTGTTCACAGATAACCAATCTTTAACCCTCCCACTGTCTTTATGGGTGTGGCCCTGCGAGGAAAGTTGACCATTGAGCAGGATGGATGGTGTAGCCCTTGGGTCCCCTGCCACGTGGACCTCAAGGGATAAACCATCAATCCTGCTCAATGGACAACTTTCATCACCCATTAAGACAGTGGGAGGGTTAAATAAAAAAGAATATTAATCATTTACATTTTTAATTCTGATTTAATTTCATTTCTAAGGTTTGGATGTCTGAATATTACAGAATATCCTGATTGGTGTAAAGAATACATGATAATTGTCACGTTGTGGGGATGTTTAGGACCCAAATATGCAGATTACCCAGACCACAAGAGGCAGAAGTTGGTTCAAAGTAAAAATCCTAAAAGAACAAAAATAAATCCAAGGCAGCGAGCCAAAGTCCAAAAGTCCTGGAGCACAGGACACCCAAAGCTCTCTTAGAGCACCAAAAAACCTAGAGACAAGAAGCTCACTAAGAGCACGAAGACCTAGAGACGAAAAAGCTCAGACAGAGCACGAACAAACGCTGACAGAAATACAATGGACCGACAACCACACAGAGACAAGACAGGGCTTATATAGACTGGGAAGATGAGAGGGAGATGAATTGCAGGTGTGTGGGGAGAGGGACCAGGTGAACAGGGGAAGCTGACACTAAAGGAAAACACTACAGAAATAAACTACAGGGGCGTGGCTAAGCGGGGGCAAAGAGAGCACAGGACCTGGGAGAGGGAAGTCTGAGGAGGGAAACCTAGAGGGCAAATGGGGAACACCAGGAGACACATGAGGAAGACACAGACACGACACATGAGGGCGCTAGAAGACACAAAAGGTGCACCTAGAGACGAATGAGGACAAAAGGAGACACACGAGGTGAGACGCAGACACAGACCAGGACAATAATATTAATAACAGGTCATGATCTAAAGTGGGTCGGTTTGAGGTATGAAACTGTCTCAGACCTAAAGCCCTGCAGATGTATTTTATTTCTATACAAACACCAACAACAAATAAATAACAGCAACCGGATGTGTCTGCTCTGATAAAATGATAAATGACCCGCACTTGTATAGCGCCTCTCAAAGTAAGGACTCCAAAGCGCTTTGCACTACAGTGCATCATTCATCCATTCACACACACATTCACATACTGATGGTGATGAGCTACGATGTAGCCACAGCTGCCCTGGGGCGCACTGAAAGAGGCGAGGTAGTTGCGTCCCTGAAACACACACACACACACACACACACACACACACACACACATGTAACATGATGAAGGAGCCATTTCTCAGGGTTATTATCCTCTAACAACTGTTCCCCTTTGACACAGTGCCAGAGTGCATGAAACAGCCTCAAGGTCATGCATTTGCTTCTAAACTGTTTACGTTCCAGCAATGAAGACAGAAGATGAAGACTCCTTTCTTTTCTTTTATTAAAAGCCAAAGAACTCTATTTTCAATAAAGCTAATCAAAACATCTCCTGCCACCACACTCGACACACTCCACACCACGGCTGCGCCTAGAAATTCTGTCCATTAAGATAATGAACAGAACCAGTGAAAACGGGCAGCCCTGGTGGAGTCCAACCCTCACCGGGAACAGGTCCGACTTACAACCGGCTATGCGGACCAAACTCACGCTCCTCTGGTAAAGGGACTGAATGGCCCTTAACAGAAAGCCACCCACCCCATACTCCTGGAGCGTCCCCCACAGGGTGCCCCTGGGGACACGGTCATAAGCCTTCTCCAAATCCACAAAGCACATGTGGATTGGTTGGGCAAACTCCCATGCCCCCTCCATCACCCTTGCAAGGGTATAGAGCTGGTCCACAGTTCCACGGCCAGGACGAAAACCACATTGCTCCTCCTCAATCTACGTTTCAACTATCAATCGGACCCTCCTCTCCAGTACCTTGGAGTAGACCTTTCCAGGGAGGCTGAGGAGTGTGATCCCCCTATAGTTGGAACACACCCTCAGGTCACCCTTCTTAAAGATGGGGACCTCCACCCCGGTCTGCCACTCCACAGGAACTGCCCCCGATGACCACGCAATGTTGCAGAGAGGTGTCAACCATGACAGCCCTACAACATCCATAGCCTTGAGATACCCAGGACAAACCTCATCCGCCCCCGGGGCTCCGCCGCTGTGTAGTTGTGTGACTACCTCAGCAACTTCTGCCCCCGAGATTGGACAGTCCATCCCCAGGTCTCCTGGCTCTGGTTTCTCCTCGGAATGTGCATAGGTGGGATTGAGGAGCTCCTCAAAGTATTCCTTCCACCGTCCGACTATAGCCTCAGTTGACGTCAGCAGCTCCCCATCCCCACTGTAAACAGTGTGAGCGAGTTGCTGCCTTCCTCTCCTGAGGCGCCGGACAGTTTGCCAGAACCTCTTTGGAGCCAATCGATAGTCTTTCTCCATGGCCTCACCAAACTCCTCCCACGCCTGAGATTTTGCCTCAGCAACTGCCACTGCTGCACCCCGCTTGGCTATCCGGTACCTGTCTATTGCCACCGGAGACCCAAAGACCAGCCACACCCTGTAGGCCTTCTTCAGCCTGACGGCTCCCCGAACCTCTGGTGTCCACCAGCGGGTACGGGGGTTGCTACCACGACTGGCACCGGCCACTTTGCGACCACAGCTAGCAACAGCCGCCTCGACAATCGCAGAGTGGAACAAGGCCCACTCGGAGTCAATGTCCCCCACTGCTCTCGGGACGCGGTCAAAGCTCTGCCGGAGGTGGGAGTTGAAGACCGTCTTAACAGGTTCTTCTGCCAGGCGTTCCCAGCAGACCCTCACTATGCGTTTGGGTCTGCCAGGTCTGCACGGCATCTTCCCCTGCCATCTGATCCAACTCACCACCAGGTGGTGATCAGTTGACAACGCCGCTCCTCTTCACTCGGGTGTCCAAAACATATGGCCGCAGGTCAGATGATACGACTACAAAGTCTATCATCGACCTGCGACCTAGGCTGCCCTGGTACCAAGTGTACCGATGGGCATCCTTATGTTCGAACATGGTGTTCGTTTTGGCCAAACTGCGGCTTGCACAGAAGTCCAATAACGAAACACCACTCAAGTTTAGATCAGGCGGGCCGTTCCTCCCAATCACACCACTCCAGGTCAAGCTGTCATTGCCCACGTGAGCATTGAAGTCCCCCAGCAGGGCAATGAAGTCCCCTGATGGAGCTCTATCTAGCACTTGTCCCAGGGACTTCAAAAAGGGTGGGTACTCTGAACTGATATTTGACCCATAAGCACAAATAACAGTCAGGACCCGTTCCCCAACCCGAAGGTGCAGGGAAGCTACCCTCTCGTCCCCCGGGGTAAACCCCAACACACAGGCAGAGTCTTGAGGCTAACAAAAAGCCAACCCCAGCCCTCCACCTCTCACCTGGAGCAACTCAAGCAAAGGAGAGTGTCCAACCCCTCTCAAGGACTTGGGTTCCAGAGCCAATGCTATGTGTCGAGGTGAGTCCGACTATATCTAGCCGGTACCGCTCAACCTCTGCCACAAGCTCCTGCTCCTTCCCCGCCAGCGAGGAGACGTTCCATGTCCCAAAAAACAGTTTTCTTGTCCGGGGATCAGACCGCCAAGGCTCCCGCCTTGGTCTGCCACCCGATCCACATTGCACTGGACCCTTCATGTTCCTCCTGCGGGTGGTGGGTCCACAGTTGGATGAGCCCATGTATCCGGTTCTCGTCTCATCACGTATCTCGTCTCTGCTTTTCGCAGATGATGTGGTCCTCCTCGCTTCATCCAGCTCTGACCTTCAGCTCTTGCTGGGTAGGTTCGCGACCGAGTGTGAAGCGGCTGGGATGAGGATCAGCACCTCCAAATCTGAGACCATGGTTCTCGACCGGAAAAGGGTGGCTTGCCAACTCCGGGCCGGGGGAGAGGGCCTACCCCAAGTGGAGGAGTTTAAGTATCTCGGGGTCTTGTTCACGAGTGAGGGTAGGAGGGATCGGGAGATTGACAGGCGGATTGGTTCAGCGTCTGCAGTGATGTGGACGCTGAGCCGATCTGTCGTGGTGAAGAGGGAGCTGAGCCAGAAAGCCAGGCTCTCGATTTACCGGTCGATCTACGTCCCAATCCTCACCTATGGTCATGAGCTTTGGGTAATGACCGAAAGAACGAGATTGCAGATACAAGTGGCCGAAATGAGTTTCCATTGTAGGGTGGCCGGGCTCTGCCTTAGAGATAGGGTGAGGAGCTC